GCGCAAAGTTGTGATTGTCGGCGGTACTTTTCTTATGGTAAATACAAAGAGACGCTTCTCACAGAACTAGTTCAGGATGGTAACTTTCATATTTATTCAATAGCCTTCAGTGTGGTTAACACTGAAAAGGATGATTCGTGATGCCGGTTTTTTTTGTAACAAATTTTTTTGATTCATGACGAAGAGGGTCTTACGATAATCTCGGATAGACATAACTCGAGAGGGAAAACCATTAGAAATGTGTATTAGTTGGCTTCTCAGGGAATTCGCAAGAACATTTTGGGATGGTACAAAGGAAAAAATGTATTTTGTCTGGTGAAGAAAGCAACAAGATTAGGATGCCTGATTGTACTGCGATGATCGAGGAAATTGAAGCGATTAACCACAAACTTCATGGCTAGCTCCAAAGAGTTGATATCCGAATGTGGACGCGTGTTCATTTTCCGAGCGAAAGGTACAATTAATGACTACGAACATAGTAGAATCAAGGAACATAGCACTGTTAAATGCTAGAATTCTTAACATTGTTTGACTAGTAGAATCGATATGGATTACGATGACTAGATGGTTTGCTGAACAGAGAGAGGATGCTAGACCACAGCCAACCACGCTTACGAGTGGTGTAGAGAAACTACTACATGTAAGTCAGCCGTAACAGTCCATAAGTGAGCCAAAATTTCATAAATCAGTCGTAATAGTTCATAAGTTAGGCTTAATAATTCATAAGTCAGCCTTAACAGTTCTTAAGTCAGCGTTTATGTTTTTTATTCTGTATTTATAATAGAGTCGTGTTACTGCCGCCAGACTGTTGACGGTACAAAGGATTAATGCTCATCACACTGAAGTTACATATGGATCGTCTGAGAAGTATTTGCTTGTTGTTAACTTCAAAGGGAGAAAGTGAACATGTAGGCATTTCGAACAAGAGAAATTTCCATGTGTGCATGCATTCCAAGCTGTCAAGTGCAAAAATGTTTGTCATATATCAATGTGCATTCATTACTGTAATGACACTTATTTGGAGAACGAATACGCTGTAACCGTCATACCGGTTGATTTAGCTAAAAAGAGGTGGCTAATCAACCGTGTTTGCCCCTGTTTTTTGGTCAAGAACCAGGAAGACCTACAAAAATAATAAAATCTGCTTTAGAAGTTGCACTTAAAAACAAACGTCTTAGGAAAGAATACACATGTTCTCATAGTAGACAGAGTAGGCATAATGTGAAAACTTGTCCAATGTAAAATTGTTGTAAAGATTTAATTGATTTTTGTATTACCGCTGATTTACTTTTAGTTTACGACTGAGTTATGGATTAATTATAGCTGAGTTTTGGTGGAATTACGGCAACTCTTGAAACATGAAACATCGTGAGAATTCCCGCCAAAGAATGTAACACAACAATGTAAATTACTTTTGACGTCTGAGTTACCGTTAGTTTACGACTGAGTTGTAGATTTTAATATTTTTGTATTATGGCTGAGTTGTGGTTGAATTACTGCTAATATTGAAGCACTTAACGCCGTGAGTTAAAATTCTTAAAAAGACATCTTTTTAACTCTCTATTTATATTTATATATACAAAATAATTGTTTATATCGAAATTAGTTTGACTCCTCTCTGTAGCGACGAAAGTTTTAGAAACTTATATATTTGAGAGAAAATGGAATGTTTTCCAATTCTTTAAATGTCGAAGAAATTCAAGCGTTAGTGGTTGAACGTGTGGCCGATAAATCCTTCATAGATCTTTATAGCCTGAGAGCATCGTGCAAGTCGATAAAGGCGTTAACAGAGAGGCATAGGGTATACCATTTTGGATGTGTTATCATTTTCTTGGGCTTCACTATGCCTCCTTTAATGTTGGAAACTCGCTACGCTGAGGGCAACCCAAGCACACTTATAATCAAGGATGGTACAATTTTTCTTCAAATTTAACCTTCAAAAAGAAGGAATTGCTCTTTTGAAGAGTGCAGCGAATGCATGATATGAGCATACCGTGCATACATATGCAATGAGTCAAAAAACCTTTTGGCATGATGAAAAGTATTTTAATCGTTTTATAAGGGAATCACTTGACAAGATTGGGAAACTCGTGCGATCTCTGAAATGGGGATGAGATTTGTGGCATGGTGACAAATTACACGTAAAGAGAGACGAGTTATTTTCAACCATTGTTCCGTCGTTCTAAAGTTTCTAATGTGTCGCTATTTTGACATAAATTGGGTCTTATGGCACATTGAGAACAATAAGTATGACAACATGTGTAACCTCTATTTCTAGATCAAAGAGGTTAGACTGTTTTTCTATGAGTTTGAACCGATGAGCGTGATTATGGACACAAAGGAGTGGTGAAAATGTATTATAGCGGAATCATTATTATTTTGATGTCTTTGCTATGCGATTATGTAGAGTTGTAGACTATGTAGGTGTACATATTAATGTACATACAACTAACATATTAATATATGAAATTTTTTATCATAGTTTCTTTACATGTTGATTGTTGATTGTATTACGGCTGAGTTTTGGTTAAACAACGGTTGAGTTTTAGTTGAATTACGACTGACTTATAGCAATTATAGTTATAAATAATTAAATTTGACAGCTGAATTATAGGAATTCACACTTTTTCACTCAGCTAGCTTCGCAATTATTCCAACAGGAAACCGCTTAATGTCTTCCCACACATCACGTTCTATTTCTTCTCCAAAGTGATGGAATTTTCTCATATGGAAATTGTGATTAATGTCTTTATCTCCTAGATTAGAATTCCCTTCAGGGTAAAGTTTGGATGGTAGTATCTTACTTGATCTTCAGAAACATTCATTTGATTATAAAACAAATTTAAATTAGCCGCAATAGAAAAATAACTCAGTCACAACATACTATATAACTCAGCCGTAACAGAAAAATAACTCAACCACAACATAATATATACATGAGCCCAACAAAAAAATAACTCAACAATAACATAATATATAAATCAGTCATAATAGAAAAATAACTCAACCACAACATAATATATAACTTAGCGGCAATATAAAAATAACTCAGCCACAACATAATATATAACCCAACCACAATACAAATCAAACTAAGGCGCAACATAAATCAAAATCATCCACAACATAAATCAAACTTAGTCACAACATAAATCAAACTCATCCACAACATACTGGAGAAGACGATTTCATAGATATGAGTACGGCGAAGACGATTTCGTAAAAACGCTAGCAGAGATGATGATTTCAGCGAAGACGATATCTTAGAAGACAGTTCGAGATGATCACCAATAGTATCGACTAAACGGTAAGGGTTTAAACGACGAAGAAATAAAGTTGTGTTCTTTTGGTAACACCATAATTATGCGACGTTTGATTGTCTTCCCTCTTTTTTTATCACTGCTATTAGTGACGTGGATACAATAATTAGTTATATAGATTTGTTAATTAAAAATATTTACAATCAAACAAAAATTAACCAGTGGTTTTTATTGTAATTTACTATAAATTTACAAATTTTCTACTAATTTTTAAAAGATATATGATATTCTAGTCATATAATATTTTGGGAAAATTCCATAAAAATACTCCAACTAAATTTCTTTAACCATGTTAATACTCAAATTTTTTTTGCTATCCATTTTAATACGCCAACTAATTATTTTCCTCATTTTAATACACAAACTTTTATAACTGTGCCCATTTAAATACCCAAATTTTAGTTATTTTAATTAAAATATTAAGAAGTTTCAAATGAAATTTTAAAATGTGTAAGCTTTACTAGAAAATTCTAATTTTATTTTAATTTTGAGAAGTAAAAGTAAATAATTTTTTTTATAATTTTACATTTTGTAATAAATATTTAAATTTTAAATATTTATTTTTGTTTTTTATAAAATAAAAAAATATATAGTTTTTTCATTCAAAATTAATTTTTTAAATTTTTTAAAACTTCTCTAGATTTTATTTACTTTCTTTTTAAAATCTTTAAGTAAAATTAGAAATTTTAAATATTTATTTTTAGATTTTAGAAAAATTTTAAAATTTCGTTTGAAACTTTATACTATTGTTAATTAAAATAAATAAAGTTTGGTTATTAAAATAAGAGTTTTCGTATTAAAATGGGAAAAATAATTAGTTGGGTATTAAACATGGTAGCAAAAAATTTTGGGTATTAAAAGCTTAACAAAATTTAGTTTGAGTATTTTTATAGAATTTTCCCTTATATCTTTTCTATTCTAGTAATTTTTTCATTTAAAATAACATAATATTTTATATTTATATATAAATTACCAAATCATTTATATTTTAAAATAAATATTAATAAGTTATTATGATACATTTACTTTGTTATAATTTATATCCAACATGAAAGAATCACCAAATAACAGGTTAAGACCCATGTCTTACATGAGATAAAATTGTATATTTATGTATTATATGTTCTTTTATATATTGTAATATATATATATTACTTAAAAATTCAGTAACCATTACATATATAATTTAATTTGTGCGGAACGTAAATAAATTTTATTAAGCCAAACAATTATTTTTTTTACAATTTTTTTTTATGATTTGTATATTTTTATAACAAAAAACTTTAAATCACTGGTAATAAAGTTTTCATTGTATGTTTTTTAAAAGGTTTAGTAATTTATAATTTTAAATAATAATCAATGCAAAATGTAAAATGTAGTATTAAGGTGCAGTATTTTAGCAAAATAACTAAACTAGCTTTCAAAAAGCACGTGTTCGAAAATATCAGCAAAAGACAAGCGTTCATTCGTGAAAGTTCTGGTTTCCTTATCCAAACAGAGGAGACACAGTTAGTATCAAACAAGAGCTTGAGACGTGTCCTTATCTACAAGGATAATGTAGATCTTAACGAATCGTGTAGTTCCGTGCCTATGACGTGTGTCGAATGACATGAGACATATGCATGCTATATAATCAAGAACATCCCATAATTAAGCAGCAAACAAAGGATACAGTAAAGAGGAGAAGTAAACCCCCCGAAAAATGGAAGATGAGAAGAAACCAGCAATGACGGAGAAGACAACGGAACAAGAAGTAAAAAAGGACGACGTTCCTAACATCAAGAGCCCATATTTTGACTATAATAACATGGAAGATTTTAAGATGAGAGATTATGGGCACGAAGGCCACGAGGAGCCTGAGGTTGATCTTGGAGGTGGTTCTACCGATCCTCTCATTCCGTCAGGTGGAGTTGGCCGTGGCGGAGGTGCCGCATCGTCAGATCTTTCCTCCACCGGAACTATTAACCGTCAGGGAGTTCCGTGAAAACTCTTTACATAAAATGTAGCTGACTAGTGCCAGATATAGCTGTGTCTCTCTTTTATTTAAAGTGTCTTATGAATGCAACATGTTCCAGTCTTCCAGACTAAACGTGTATATGCAAGCAGAAAATGGAGTTATAGTTAATAAATAATGACATGCAGAAAATAAACAAAGAGAATATGAAATGAATGGAATGAAACTAAACGTATATTTATTTTTTGAATAGATTAGTCGAATCCCAGAAGCCAAAATGCACAAGGCACTCGGCACAGCCACACTGGATCATGACCTTCTTGGCAAAACTTTTTTTTTCTTTTTCTTTTATAAACACATCTTGGCAAAGGTTCATTTACATAGTACAGATGGAAATGTTTTGCTCTATTTTATGTAATACCTATGTAACAACACCGTAAGATATTTTTTTTTGATTTATTGTGATTGGTAAAATCAAAATATACTACAACTTCTTCAACGAGACAGAGGATGACTAGTTTCGTTCTATGGGTAACCCCATCGGTTGTGTTGTCTTTTTTTTTGCACACTGAAAGATCATATATTAAACCAACTTCAGTACACAAACCCGGTGATGATGGACATTCCAGAAAAACCGGTGGATTACACATAATCCCCGGAAACCAAAGCCCACAAATAGGAATTTAGGTGAAAACATGATTGAAATTAAGAACTTGTCAAAATTAATCACTACCATCGGTTGAACCTCATACAAAAGAAAATACGAACATGCGATCTACAAGAGAATCTTTGAAGGACCAATCGATGAAGTCCAAATAAGACAGAGACACCGACAGCCATGTCCTCCTATAGTGAATAGCCCAACCATGATTAGCACAACTTCAGAGTACCGGCAAGATAGAATACTCCATGTTCTTATGATAAAAACCGGCAAGGTGAAGAGGGACAAACAATGTCGTAAGTCCGCCAACAGGAAGCTAAAACAAAGATAAGATCTCGATCAGATCAAAAGGTTGATGACAAGGAGCGACGATACATGCCTCCGGATACCACCACCCACACAAAAGCGGACAAGCAGTAGATCGAAGCCGAAGACAATTCAAAATGAACTTGAGATCAACATGCAACATTGAAACACAAAAGGATTTCAACCAAGAATGAATTTGAAGGATTAGGATCATCTGATCAAAGTCTAACAGACATGTAACACAAGATCAAACATCCACTTTCAATTACTCATGGATTCAACCAGATCTAGATCTAAGAATCCAAAACCAATGAGTAGAAAGAAAAGACTAGTGAAGATCATACAAAAGAGACAGTCCCGATGGTGACGCTAAGGGCGCGCCACCATCAAAAAATACATAATCTTACCGGAGAAGATGAAGAGATGAAGAGAGAAGGAGGAGAAAAACAGAAGGCCATTGGTTGTGTTGTCAAAATAAGATTCTTGATGATAAAATATTACTATTTTAATTAATTTTGTTTAATTAATATATAAATGTACATTTATTACCTGAGATATTTTATATATCGACAAGTGGAAAGATGAGCTCATGTGTAATTCTCTTTAGTCTTCTACATAGAATTTTTTCATGCCTTTTTGCCAATTTTTTATATTTTTATTTTCTTTTAATTATTACATATCTAGCGAGAATCTTGCATTGGACTCTCCAAAACCAAAGGGAATTGTCAATCAGCGGTGGAATCACATGCAATAATGTGAAGGCCATTGAACCCAAAAAAATTTAGAAAATTAGTGTAAGTTACTAAAGCCTAATCTAAATGACCTCACCCTAAAAATATTTACTACCATACATTTGTTTGAACCCACTAAAAATATAGAGAACAATATTGTATTTAAACCCATTTGGTATTTTATTATAGCTTAAAGTCCAGTAGAAAACCCAAAAACCTAAGAATATAATTAATAAGTGTTTAGCGGAATATAAAAAATCGTCTCTTGACTATTAACTAAAAAACTAAGAACAAGTTCACTCAAAGGGACTTGTCAATCAGTGTCGGAACCACATACAATAATATGGAGGCCATTGAACCCAACAAAATTTAGGAAACTAGTGTAAGTTACTAAAGCCTAATCTAAATGACCTCACCCTAAAAAACAATTGCTACCATATATTTGTTTAAACCCACTAAAAATATATAGAGAACAATGTTGTATTTAAACCCACTTAGTATTTTATTATAGTTTAAAGTCCACTAGAAAACCCTAAAAACCTAAGAATGAGATTTTTAACGGAACACAAAACACCATTTCTTAATTTTTAACTAAAAAAAATATAAGAATCGGTTTTTAAATAAAAAATTTAAAAATTGTTTTTTAATTTTCTTAGTTAAAAATAAAAAGACAATTTTTTATATTCCGCTAAGAACCACCATTAATCATGCTATACGTAATATTTATGCCTCATGCTCCAACAATTTTTCTTTTTTCCTTTGCCACTGTTGTCGATGACTCAATATTGTCTTCAAACTGATTGGAAACTCGGACTTAATCTACAAAAAAAAAATTAATAAAATATTATGTTTTCAATATTGTGTATGGAGCACCCGCACAATATATTTAAGGTAAATAAGGTATAAAAACTAAAAGAATCATATAATTAGTTTAAAATAGTGAAAAACGTATAAAGTTGTTATTCCATTTACTGTTCACTTTTCTTTATTAAGCTGTTCAATAACAATCACTTTGCCACCATTTCTCTTCAAATAATATGAAGAAAAAAATTAAACAACATCTACTCTAATGATTTACTTCATTTTCTGACCAATCTATAAAATAAAATAAAATTATCTTGAAAAATACATATGTAAACAATATATCCTCAAATTTAAAGTAATACTGTTATAGTTTCATTTTGAAATAAGAAATGGAGAACAATTGGAGAAAAGGTTCATCAAAATGAAGTAGAAGTTAAAATCTGAAGCACCAATGTAAATGATCTAAAACAAAAGTTTAAACTTTAAACTCATTTTTTTAAGATAAGAGATCCCATTTTTTAAACTAAATGCATAGCCCACAACAAAATATCCCATTTCGACATATAGGGATAGTTAATTTTGAAATGACCATGTGAAATGAAAATAAAGAAAAGCACATTTTATTACATATGCATAAGGAGATGCTTGGTTGAGCCATTGGAACGAACCAGAGATATGAAAGGTAGATGAAACATAAATGAGATTCAGCTCGGAAATGATATTGAATTTTATAATTTAACGATTCGACGAGGAATTTAGAGGATTTGTGTGATTCATGATTTACTGGTTCGAATTAGTCAAGTTGGTGATGTTTTAGCTCAGGCCAAGCTCTAGACTGCGAGAAGAAAGTGATGAGGAAAGAATCTAAGGATTTATATTTTATGAAAAGATTGAGAGACAATAAACTTTGTAAACACAATTCTCTGCCAAAACACATGAGATTAAAGAAAGAAAAAGATAAGGCGAGAGAAGATGTTTGGTTCTAATAGTAAACAAGTTCCTCTCTCATTTGGTCTTAGTTGAAATAGCAAAATAAAGAACCACAATAAACTATTATAGTATCGGGATGGAACTGTGATGTAATAAACTCCAAAGTAACTCTGAATTAAAAAAAAATTCTATAAATTGTAATAACTGTAAATAGTAGGATTCTTCAGATAGCCAATATCAACAAAAGTCTTGTATAGACAATGTAACATTTGATCAAATAAAATATGCATGTGTTGGTACATATTGATCAAATCTATATTATAATAGTTGAGTTTCAAGAAACCTCAGCGCGCCACTTCAGCATTAGGTGGGTCCCACTTCAAAAAATGTGAAAAGTTGTCAAACATATGATTTGAACCCAAGTTATTAAGGAACAAACACTAACATTCATACCACCAAACTACAGGATAACTTGTACATTGATGGCTGAAACTAATATATATTTAGCCGGAAGCCTTTGCATCTATGACCTCCTTTAAAGTTCGGCCTCGAAGTGTATTATGAGTTTTATTTTTAATTGGGATTAATCACATTATATGAAGAAAAATCCTCAAGTTTACAACAGTTATAGTTTTCCCATATTGTAAACCGTCAATGTTTAAAATGAGTTAAGATTCCTTTCACCATCGTCTCATACAGGTTTGAGTTACAGAGATACGCCATGTGTCTGTTCGTAATCTATTCTTTTCACCGGTGAACTCTTCATCTCCCCAGCTTACATCGCTTGCTCATAAATGTTCCTGATTTGTATCCCCTATGTAAATCCTATATATATATATATATATATATATATATATATATGATTCTCATATTTGATGAACCATATCTGCATCTCCACAAAACTTATCTATTCCTCTTAACTTTAACCATTTTTTAGAAAATGTCTCTCTCTGCTTCTCCAATTCCTAAAACTAGCGTCACCGACGTCCGTCATGCAGCCTTCGAGTCTCTCTGTCATGTTAAAGTAAACATAAGCCATACCAACCAAATTAACATATAGAACCTCAAATCATTCAATATGGGTTTTAGTAAACGAAACTAATAATAATAGAAACAAAGTCATACAACAAATTCAAACCTTCTTATTGCAGGTTCCGAGAACACCAAATCAACATAGGTTCACTGAGTAAGGAATGCGGTGGAGACAGCCTTAACTGAGGTGAGCAAATCTCTCTTCCATGTTGCTATAGAAAAACTATAATTTCACAAAATGACACACTAAAAACGCAATCAGACCAAGAATCACAAGAGCTTGCCACACTGCTGAAGATGACGAGGAGAAACAAAAATGGCGAGTAAACAATCCAGTTTCAGATCTAAATTGAGACTCAAGACTCATCAAATTTCAAGTCCAATCATTTAAAACCCAACAACTACATTTTCATTGCGTTCGAATATAAGTCCTATACGACTAAAATTTTTAATCCACCATTCCATTGTTAAACTACCACAAAATATTTTTGACAAATAAAAAAAATAACTATCTTAGTCATACATGTATATAATTATACGAAGCATTAGCATTATTAAACTACAGTTATATATTTTCAAAACATGTCATGGCACATTGAAAACAACAAACTATATTTCTTTTCGGATAACAAAATTATTTTCTCTTTGTTCCCATATTATAGTTGTATATTAACAAATACCTATGTTTAGCTACATATGGTTATTAACTCACTAATAACATTAAGATCCAATTAAATCGTAAAAAAATGTAGAAATACGAACACATATGAATTTGTTAAACAATCTTATTTGTAAATAAAAACAGGTCTTTACTCACTAATAAAGATTAATCTCTCAACATTCCACACAACCCCTTAATAAACATGTTTCATCTTTCTCTCTTCAATCCATTAAACTATATTTCTTTGTATAATTGAATAAAATCTTTAAAAAGAATTTAAAAATGCTAATTCACTATTTAACAATAATATACTACCAACCTATAAATTAGACAATGACAACATAATAAATCACCCATCCTGGACATAAAAGCACTAATAAACACAAATATTCGAAAAAATCATTACTAAAATAATATATGAATATTTCAAAGCATATGAATTTTCACTCATTCGTATATCAAGTCAATTCAATCGGTTTTCGGTTAAACCCCAAATAAAAAAATGTCCAAAAAATGACAAAATTTCATCTATAAAACATCATAACGCATTATCACCGTCTCCGGCTCCGCGCTTGCGCGGAGCTATGAACCTAGTGATAATAACTATTGAGTACTAGTAATATTTTCTTCCCGCGTCATGGTCAGTTACTTATACTGAGAATAAATTTATTTTAATTGGTAACAATACAATTTGTATTAGACTCTTTGTTTATTTGTCAAATCGGACTGTAATTGGCTACTAAAATGTGTAACACATCTAATTACTATGATTTATTTTGTCGACCTAGTTATTATGATTTTAATACAAATACTATTACATTCTAAAGCATGTTTTAAAAATAATAATTTTAATTATAAAATTTACTACTGATAATTTTTTTTTGAATAGTGCCCCTCAGTTGTCAGGACCGGCTCTGGTAAACTCTCATTAATTTATAGAGTTTTGAGTGTTATGTAAGTGTATAATTAGGCCGCTTTACCTTTCGGCCTTGCAGTAAAGCCCATAACCAATAAGGCGATAAAGCTACCGACATCAGCAAGATATTACTTACAAAGCCACGTAGACCAAAGGAATCACGTACCTGCCGCGTGTTGGAGACACACAAACCACACTTTACTCCAACTTCTATAAAGCAAACACATCTCATCGCCTAAGAAGAAGAATCCAACAAACAAAAGAAAATGGAGGCTGAGAAAACACCACCGACGACGACGACTACGGAGAAAAAACCAGAGCAGGAAGTGAAAAACGACTTGCCGACAAACAGTCCTTATGTGGACGACTCAGGTAGCTTGGAAGATTACAAGATGAAAGCTTATGGTGCCCAAGGCCACCAAGAGGTTAAGGCTGGTCTCGGTGGTGGATCCACTGATGCTCCTACTCCGTCAGGTGGAGGATCCACCGCCGCTGCTGAGAAAGCTCCTTGAAAGCAGATAAAGAAATTATAATGTATAATAATAATGAGTTTCTTGGATAGAAAAATACCAAGATTTGTGGCCAGTTTATCTAAATAACTGATCTAAGTTTTCGTTTGTATGGTTATGTATTTTAACTAAAGATGTAATTGCGTGTATTGCCGAGTGCAAACGGAATTTCTAAGTACCATCAGCTAAAATAAATAATATCATATGTTTCGGACGAAATAAATATCTGACGACTTTGTAGTTGATATAAAGATTCGTAGCCAGCTTTTCCAAATAACTTATCTAAGCTTCGTATGGAATATGTACTTTAATTAGAACTAGATGTTGAAGCGGATGTTTGATTTAACTTGTGTTCAAAATAAATTCATAATCCATTGATTTAATAAAATATTTTATATATATATTTCTATGTTTTATAAATTATATATCGAATAACATATTTTATTTTATAATATAAATGTTTGATAATATTTTTTTTATTTGTATATAATATTATATCAAAATGTATAACTTAATGTAATTGTACAAATCTAATATTAATCTGTTTTTTAATTTATGTTAAAATGAAATAATACACTAAATTTTAAAAAAAATTATATTAATTTTCTATAAATTATTATATTTTCTAATTTTTTTAAAAAGTTAACTCTCAGATTTTTTATTTAATTAAATTAAATAAAGTAATACTAGATTTAAAAATTATTTTATATAATATATACTATATTTTAATTGATATTTTTATATTATCAATAACATCATCAACTTTAAATTTATAATTAATAAATTTAAATTTTTAAATGTAGTAGTAGAATATGTAAATAAAAAACTATAAATAAAATATATAATGGCTAAATATATAAATAAAAAAATATTAAAAGGACAATGTTATTCATATTTTTAAACATACTTCTTTTTATTATTGCTATTAAAAAATGTAAAATTAATTTCGAGTTTAATAAGCTGAAACATTATTATAGTATGCTACGGGTGAAATGCTTATGTAACGATCAAGTTATCTAGTAGGATCTTATTTCGGGTTCAAATTGTTCACTATTTTACCAAAAACAAAAATTGTTCACTGTAGTCTATAACCATAAACCATTAGATAGTTTAGTCGGTCAAAACATCGAACCCAAGCGTAGAAGACGGTGGGGGTCAGTAAGGTACTGATATTTTGGGTGGACGGTGGAATATAGTTTTTTACTCAGGTAGTGGGGCATATGGTCGGCTGAGAGATATCCACACGAACATTGGCCTTGGTCTCTCTGAAATAAATAGAAAATATGTGGCTCACAATTGATACGTGGGCACTAGAGAACGTGTGTATATCAGATAAAACGATATTCTTTCGTTTTAAAAATATACTAGAGTTTTTACCCGCACGAATAGAACGTGTGTATATCAGATAAAATAATATTCTTTCGTTTTAAAAATATACTAGAGTTTTTACCCGCACATTCGTGCGAATATATTTTTCATTTTTAAAAATTTATTTAATATTAATATAAATATTTTAAATATATAATTTATATTTTATGCTATATATTGTGTAAAATTATAATCTAAATGATGTAGGTTTTTATTTAACATTATTAATATATAATATTCTTTAACTTTTTATTTTGTTATTCGACATTATTAATATAAAATATTTTTATGTTTTCTCAACATATTATTTTATAATAAAAATATTAAATTTTCAGTTAAAAATATGTTTTCCTGATATCTTCTGAATTAGTAAAACTTTCTGATATCCTATCTTTTTTAAATATCTTCTGAGTTAGTTATATACTATTATATTTTTTATATAATCATTATAGATAATATTTTTTGTGAGTTTTAAATTAAGTAAAAAATAAGATATAGTAAAAATTTAACATTATGCTAACATTTTTGTATAAAAAATATACATAATTTATGATGTTAATCGTTTAGTGGTGAATAATTTTTTTATTTAAGTGAAATAAATTTTAAAACAAAGTTTCATTTACCAACGTAATTTATTTTATTTAATTCATAGTGCAATTTTATTTTAATATAACCTAGACTATAATATGAAATTTATAAAATAGTATAGGATTCTTTTTTATTATTATAGTGAAATTTTAATTAATACTAATGTATAATAGTATGATATTATTAATTACGAAATTCATTATTATGTTATTTAATAAAAAAATATTTAAATTTCTAGTAAGATTTTGTTAGATATTCTCTTAACCGATTCTGTTATAATTAAAAATAAAATGTAAAGCTATTATTTTCAGCATATATGATATATATTTGATTGATTAACCTAATTAATTTAATATGTCATACTAAATAAATGAAATGGTCCTATATGACTTCTTTGTAGTAGATAAGAATAGTGACTCTATTTTAATAGAGTAGATGAATTATTAGTAGATTTCTATTGTTTTAAAACAGAAATATTTTAAAATTTAAGGATATTAAATTTTAAAATAAATTTTAATTTTCTTAAAACTATTCGGTGAATAAAATTTTATAAATTTTTGATAATTAATTAAATAATTATAAAGTTATATTGTTAAAATATTTTTTAGAAAAATGTTATGTTTTCATCTTTGTGCATAACATTAGCGGTGATTTTTATACTAATCTCTTTGAATCAATACTATTAAAAGAGAAAAAATCTAAAAAAATCTATTTATACAAATTGTTTGTAATTTTTCATTAAGTAACTAATTTTTGGTCTTTCTCTATATTTTCTCTAACTATACAATAAATAATTTAACTAAATTCATTTATTACTCGAATATATCATGTGCATACCAACGAGATTCCATAACGTTATACAAGACCCATTTTATTAAACTAACATTTTATCAAAGTCATATGTTTTTTTGGTACCTAATGTCACGAGCAACGAAGATCTTTCCAGATTATACGACTTATGAGTAAGAAAATAAGCAAAACATAATCATCAGAAATCAAAAGCTCATGCTTTGAAGAGATCAAAATGCACATCGAAAATCCAAATCATTAACAAGGTAAATCATTTCACGAAAAATCCCGTGAAAGTTTATAACCTAAAGCCCGACCTGCATCAATCATATTGAATTGCCTTTACAAATCACCAGAAGATCATTGTATTCTATTCTAATATATTTGAGGAATTTCCTCCCTTTTAATTAAATTTAGTTTTTTTTTCAATTTTTTTTGTTTCTTAATACGAATTTGGAAGTATTGACTTTTTTTTTGTGTGTGATTCAAGTGATCTATCTTCCTTGTGGTTTAAGTTTAGTTGGACTTATATTTGTAGAGTTTTAGAAAATCTGATCCTGATCAGCAATGGGAATTAGCGAATGATGATTCGTGGAAGGGGGACCTCATCTTTCGAAAAACATTCATAGAAGCAAACCTGTTCAGAGTGACAGAGAATTAGAGGGACGGGGGGTTGCTTGAAGAGTTACATAAACAAGAGGAGGAACAAGAACTGTTTGAGAAACAAGATAAGAAACTAAGATATCAGTTACACTACATGGAGAAGCATCAAAACTCGTTGGTTTCATATGTTTCTCAAGTAGGAAAAACAGGGCTTGCTCTGAATTTCTCGCTGTGTCTACATAAAACGAACGAGGAGAAAAGAAGCCTCCCTAGGATCGGGTTTGAACCGGTGTTGGAAGATAACCAGACATGTGTTATTGTGACAGAGAATAGTTCTACACGCTCTTCTTCGCACGAAATATAACATCAGGTGGAACAGTTAGAGTATTCAACAAAGACCCTTTGAAATCTTGACGTAAAAAGTGAAGATGTATGGTGCAGACGAAGCTGAAGTAGTTTAAGGACGGAGCTGAAGTAGTTCATGAAGCACGACATGAACTACTGGATGAAACGCGGAGTCAAGAGCTGAGCAAGAAAAGGAAGGAGCCTTTAGTAAAGATGTGAAGATATTTATCAAGGCGTGGGCGTTAAGAAAAAGGAGTGAAGAATAAGCAACCGATGAAGAAAAGAAGAAGGTTGTCTTATTCGCTGACACAGAAAATGGAAAGTTTCCATTGGGTAGTTTTAGGGTTTTTCTCTCTAGGTATAAAGAGACAGTCGACTGGGTTGTAGTCGGCTAACACACTAGGTGATATTCTAGCAAGATAGAATTTTGTGAAACCGAGCAAGGTAAGCAAAACACTCTAAGAGTTAGAAGCAATTCATCGACTAGGGTAAGTCGTGGATTGATTAGGCTAGTCAACAAGTCAAGTTGTTCTTGAGCTTTGTTGAGAATTGCTTTTCAAAAGAACTTGTATGTGCTTTTAAAAGGATTTATCTAGTCGTATTTTCTTGGAAAAAATAACTCTTGGATTACTGTGTGTTCTAGTTTCTGTACTACTAATCTTGCGCTTTCAATTGGTATCAGAGCGGGTACTTGTGTTTTTCTTAAACAGGTAAGGATCCTGCGGAATGGACAACTTCAAAGAGTTGGTGGCGCACTCCAAGGTGATCTTGGAAGTAGGAAACTATGGGTTCTGGAAAGCCAGAATGAAGGCGATGATCAAAGGTATTGATCCACTTGCATGGAAGGCAGTTGAGTCTGGGTGGAACCATCATGTTGCGAGAGGTGAAGATGGTAAAGACGTACCAAAACCCGAAGAACTGTGGACTGAAGATGAGAACAAGTTTGCCAAGTTCAATGCAAGAGCACTCACGGCCATCCACTGCAGTGTTGCAAGGAAACAGTTTGAGTTGATTCAGGGATGTGAGTCAGCGAAAGAAGCATGGGATATTCTTCAGAAGCACTTTGAAGGAACTAAAAAGGTGTTAAGCTCGAGAAGAGAAATGCTGGATACTCGGTTTGAAGATCTGAAGATGGACGAGAATGAATCAATTGCTGATTTCAGTTCCAAGCTAAGCTCATTGTCCCAAGAAGCACTCACACTCGGGAAAAAATACAAAGAGAAGAAAATGGTGAAGAAGTTCTTGAGGTGCCTTCCTGAAAGGTTCAGAGGTCACAAATCAGCCATGGAAGTAGCTCTCAACACTGATGGCATAAGCTTCGATGAGGTAGTGGGTATGATGCAAGCTCATGAGATGGAGTTAGATAGTGGAAAGAAGGTTAAGGGAATTGCACTAGCGCCTGTTGAAAAGGATGAAGCAGGTGATGATCCATTAAGCTTACTTGTGAGGAGATTTGATAGAGCACTCAGAAAAGTGGAACTAGGACAATCCTACAAGAAGTTCGGTTCAAAATCAAAATCTGCTGAAGCTGAGAAGAATGTCAAGAAGTCAGACGTGAAGTGTTATGAGTGTAATGGATATGGCCATGTGCGAACTGATTGCCCCACAGTAAAAAGAAGAGAGTTTCAATGCTTTGGGTGCAAAGGGTTGGGCCATACTCAAGCTGA